TCCCTTTCTCTCTCCCTCTTCCCTCCAAATTTCTCTAAACATCAATGGAAAAAATATCCTCGGGTGAGGATTAACAAAAAGAAAAAAAAAAAGTTAAGTTAAAACAAAAAACAGACAATGTTACTTCCGGAGATATTAAGATTGGTACATTTTAAGAAAACCACAAAACATGGATAATTTAAATTATGGATCTATGAAGAGAAATATAATGATTCCTGTCTCAATGAAGGTATTTTTAGATAGAGAGGAGGACAGTTTCCTGTTCCACAAAGTGGTGATGCAATCCGGCCTCTAACATTATCCACTAAGGTAGGATATCTGAAGGTGGAAGGAAATTCAGAAGCTGATGACCACAAGTTAACTGACTGGGACTGACAAGGTAATACCAGAAATGGTCATGCTATTTTCCTAGATTAAATGGAATGTGACCTACATGTAGAAAATCTGGGAAGGAAATGTGAAGAAATAACCTTGGTTATTTATGAAACTGCAAAATATACCATTTAGTTTAAAAGACTTTACACTTATAAAGTAAACAGATAGGCCTTCCTTGTTATGCCCTGTCATACAAACACTAGTAAGGATCATCAGAGTGAATTCAACCTGGGATAGAACCTAGAGACTGAATTTCCAGTTTATATACTATACACTCAAGAATAATAAGGAAATGAAAGAAATGAAAAGAAAGTTGATGGGAAAATAGAAAGATTCTAAATTAGATGACCCATGTTCTCTCTGCAAGTTCAACTGTTTACATTTCTATGTACCATTGTTTATGTTTCAGAGTAAAATTATTTCTTGGTTCATTAAAGAAACTAAGAAACCAATGTATGAGCGAAGAAATCTAAAACAGCAAATAACAATAAGGCTTATGCAACTGCTTGAGCAAGTTTTCTTATATGGATCTAGAAAACTCAGTACTAGTATAAGATTTAAATTGTAGAACATCTGTGACAGTACAGTATACTATACAGATACGATGCTGTTTTAAAGTGATACACTGACAAACTTTTTATGAAGTATGCCGCATTCTGAAGCATGCTTTACATCAGGAGTGGGGAACGGTCTGGCCCTGCCAAGGCATTAGGGGCGAGTTAATTAAATGTTTAACCAAATATAGCAGGCTAATTTTTAAGTTGATAATTTTGTATGGTCTGTGAATGATGTTATAAATATCTACATGGCCCTTGGCAGAAAGAAGGTTCCCCACCCCTGCTTTACATGGATGGTCTCATTTAATTCTTATAAAATGCCTATAACCACAACCTTATGAGTTAAGTACTTTTAGTACTTCATTTATATATGAGGAAACAGAGGCTTCATAGGTTAATTAACTTAACCAAGAATTCGTGGGTAAGTGGTGGAACCAGGTATTGAACCTACATATACAGATTCCAAATCCTCTGATCTTAACCACATTAGATTTGCCAATACCCTATTTTTCACCTGAGAGGTTCAAGGTACTAGGTTAACAACACATAAAATAACTTCATTAGATAGTTGTCATGTGGCCATCTTTATTTTTAGAATCTGAGTCACTTTTTTTTATATAACTTGTTCAGAATTATAAACAAATGATTATTAGCACCAGGAAACACTTTGTTACTTATAATTTGACATTATATATAATTTATTTCAAACAGATATGTAAGATCCTGTTTCAAATGAAGCATTATTTTCAGGTAGTCAATAGCTATTCTTTGTAGAAGGCATGATATTACTTAGGATACATGTTAGTGAAATGAAATATATCACAATTGAACACACATTATTACGAATTATTTTACATATACACATACTTTTAACAGAAGATACATATGAATTTCATAAGAACTCTATCAGAAATCAAAAAAATGCAGAACAAATATTAGCATTCAAAGTAGCTGTTTTTAAGAAGCTGTATATTAAAAAAAAAGTTGTATATTGATTCCAATTAAATACGAAACTATTTGGAATGGCCTTTGGCATCAAAAATCACTTGAAAAGAGTCAGAACTTCAAATGAGTAAACTGCAAATACCAAGGGAATATCATGGTTTCAAGAAAGTTCTGAATAAAAATAACTGAATATCTTTTACCTAGGGACTACTTTGATGAATTGATTTATAACATCATACCTTGTAAATACATATATTTTATGAATGGACAGAGGGAGAGAGTGGCACAAAGAGAAGGCTCTGCATTGCCAGAATCCATATTTAATGTAATAGTCAGTTTCTCATACAGAGCCATGTAATTGATAGGCTCTTAATACATATCTGATTATAGCACAGAAAACAAAAAAACAATAAGGACTCTAACTTTGTTCACGTAAGGTATGAACAAACAGAATTCCTATTCAGTAAACAAGAGAGAACAGTTCATAGTCCATTTTCCTTTCCATGCTTACTTGTTTTTTAAGAGAAGAAGAGAGAGAAAGAGAGAGAGAGAGAGAGAGAGAGAGAGAGAGAGAGAGAGAGAGAGATATATGATGTGAGAAACATTCATTGGTTGCCTCTCGTACATGCCTCAATCGGGACTGAACTTGCAACCTAGGTATGTGCCCTGACCGGGAATTGGAGCCATGACCTTTTGGTATATAGGTAAATGCTCCAACCAACTAAGCCACACAGGCCAGGGCTCCCTTTCCATGTTTACTAAGAAAATGACTATTTTTTATCTTTTAAAAATGTATATAAAATATATAAAAAACCCCACTGTTTTTGAAGGAATATAAAGATGATAATATAATAAACACAGTAAACAATGGAATGTCTTAGATAAAAAGGTACTTGTGTATCAGGATATAAATGAGTAGCACAGAAAAGGAAAAGACAGAGAAAGTATTTTTAAAAAGCTCTTCTGTAACAACATGCTAGTCCCTTTAAGAAGGTTGTCTTTTACAAACCTACTTGTTTCACTGACTCACTTAAACCACAAAATAGTTGCTTGAACAAAAACAAAATAGTACCATGATGTACACACATTGCCTTAAGCGTATGTGGTTTAAAAACTTCCTGTCATTTACTGCACACTTGCTATCTCTCCCAAATATACTTAGAATCCTCCTTCTCCCACACCTGTCATGATCTCAATATTCATGTTTTAGTCACTACTAAGAATACTATTAAAATGTTAGTGATCACATCATTGCTAGTTTTGAAAGAGATGGAGGAAGATGGTAGATGAATAAGAGGGCACACTGAAATTTTCCAAATGGTTCCGGTTAGGATATGCTTCCATACCAATTTCCTAGTACTCAGCCTGGCTCTGTCATACACATACTGCCATAGCACAGCCACAGTTACCTATAGTGAGAATAGAAACTGGTAGAACTTCAATGGACAGTGGATTAAAGGACACTTACATTTGTAATTAATGTAAGTGTCCTTTAATCCAGGAATTTCTCCTTAGGAATCTATTCTATAGATATGGTCATACACACACAATGATGTATGTGCAAGGTTATTTATACATTATTACTTACTAGAGGCCCGATGCATGAAATTTGTGCAAGAGTAGGCCTTCCTTCCCCTGGCTGCTGGCACCAGCTTAGCTCCAGCACCGGGGACCCCGGCTTCCCTCTGGCTGCCAGCAGGCACCCAGGACCTGGGCTTCCTTCTGGCTGCCGGCAGGCACCTGGGACCTGGGCTTCCTCCACAGCCCCAGATTCATCCGGAAGGTCGTCCGGTCTAATTAGCATATTATGCTTTTATTATTATAGAAGAAGATTATAGCAAAAACTTTGTAACAGATTAAATGTTTATCAATGTGGAAATGATTTATAATGGCACATCCTGCAATAGACTGTGCTAGTAAAAGGTATGAGAATGCTCTTTATGTATTGATATGAAATACTGTCCAAGATAAATTACTCAGTGAAAAAGGCAGAATTACTCTATAATTTGAGTCAGAGTTTTTTCTTTTATCTATGTCTTCCCTTAAGTCTCTCTATCCTATTTAATAAAGAGGTAATATGCAAATTAACCCTCACGCCCTCACAAGATGGCTGCCTATGACCAGGCTGACCGGGGGGTTAGTGAGGGACTAAACAACTAAACAAGCAGGCTGTGTGGGGCAACCAGGCTGGCAGTGGAGTTTAGTGAGCAAACGACTGAATAGAAGGCTGTGTGGGGTGACCAGGCCAGCGGGGAGGCCGTGAGGGGCGACCAGGTCGGCAGGGGGTGAGGTAGTTAGGCAGGCAGGCAGGTGAGCAATTAGGAGCCAGCGGTCCAGGATCGTGAGGGGGATGTCTGACTGCCGGTATAGGCCCGATCCCCGGGATCGGGTCTAAACCAGCAGTCGGACATCCCCCAAGGGGTCCTGGATTGGAGAGGGTGCAGGCTGGGCTGAGGGGATTCCCCCCCGCCCTTCACAAATTTCGTGCACCGGGCCTCTAGTGCATATATAGAAATCTTTTGAAGAAAGATGCCATGAACTTTTTCCATAGCCTTTAAAATATTTCCCAGTAAATTTCCTAGTTAGAAAAGATGTTCATATTGTGGATAGATATAGAAAAAGCAGGACATTGTTCTGGACATCGTAATATTTTAAAAGAACAACCAAAAACAATTCTTATAATTGACTTTATGTTATCTAAGTGGATGAAAGATATAAAAAGTGTATATTTTGTGCTACTATTTATTCTGTGACTCCAATGCCATCTGCAGTAATAATCATATCCATTTTAGATACAGAACTTGGTTGAAAGATCAGCAACTTTCCACTCTGAGTGCCTATTTCAAATATAATTACAGAAGTGAAATTCATAAAGTTTTTGCTAAGGATCTTGTACAAAATCATGCAAAAAAGGGAATTAAGAACAGAATCTAAGTTCCTAAAGATAGTGAATTTTATTCTTAATTTCTTTCTTCCACTTCTCCACCAATGCAATTTTCTGTATTTCAATGATGGCCCATATGCTATTAGAGTGTGTAGGGACAGAACATAATGAGAGTGAAATTTTTAAAAATTTGAGTTTCACTGACCATGTGGTTCTTTCAACTTACTCCTGCGCTGGGTTCTAGCATAAAGTACCACCTGCTGGACAACTTCCAGTTGCTCTTCAATTCGGGGAAAATGAAAGTCAGTGCACTCTTGGCAAACTGTGGCAAAATCTAAGGAACCCAAAACATGTACAAACTTTAAAAGTGAACTATCAAATATTTAGTATTTACTTACAGACAAGGAGATCCGGTGAAATAAAACATAAAATTCACAAGTATGATTTCTTATACTTGTCCTTTCAACAATTATGTCTTATGAAGTTAAGGTACAGCAATTTTGTTTTTATCAGAAACAATCTCTTCCTTCATCACTCAAAAGAGTAAACAATAGACAAGGAAATTTTAAGGTAATTCCAAGTCTTCTTTAAACAACAGATAGTTTGGTCATAACCCAGTCACAAATAGACTTTCTTCAAGCTTCCTTTAACAAGTTAATATATTTTAAAACAGTTTATATATTGAAATCTTTTAAATAATCATAAAAAATGAGTTGTATTCTGAGGGAAGGTATACATTTTACCTAGCACATTTAAGAAATAGGTTATTTAAAAAACAAAAAGGTACAAATGGATAAATTAAAATTCACTAAGCCAGGATCTGTTTCTAAATTGAAACTACATTTATCTTTTTTTTTTAAGCTATTGCTATTCTTTTCTTAAAAAAAATATTTTTTTATTGATTTCAGAGAGGAAGGGAGGGGAGAGACAGAAACATCAATAATGAGAGAGAATCGCTGATTGGCTGCCTCCTGCACACCCCTCCACTGGGAATCGAGTTTGCAACCAGGGCATGTGCCCTTGACCAGAATTGAACCTGGGACGTTCTAGCCACTGAGCCAAACCAGCTAGGGCTATATTTATATCTTGATTATTCTGTTTGTTGTACCTTGAAACAAGGAACATGTAAGAGCATTGTTTATAATATAATACAATTTTAAGAAAAATTAAATATTCCAAAGCACCATGCCTATGTTAAAGCATGAAACAAATCTAAAATAGCTGTGACTGAATAGGTTATTTGGTCTACTTGAACACTGGGATGACTATAAATTTTTTTCAACTTTTCCATAATTTAATTACTTTCTTTGTAAGAATAGTATTTTAAAAAGAAATTTAATGAAATAAATATGTATAATGGTAACTTACCTCTTTTTATACCACTATATGAATTAATTCTATTATCTACTAGTAAAACCAGGCCACAGAGAGATGTGGAATAAAGTGACAGAGCTGTCTGGAGTCGATGGAGTTTCACACCACTTCGATGATTTCTTTTGTGCTTACAGAAATCCAGCATGTCTGCTCTCAGCAATCTCAAATTATGCATGGTCTTCAATTGAGCTCCTAGGGGATATAGGCAACAACCCCAAAAAGATACTTAGCTGAAAAATCTAGTACAACAGGATGCAAATTTTTAAGACAAGCATCCCGATAAATCTGTGCTACAAATTACTGAAACTAGGCCTTGCATTTTCCCATTTTAATAACTAGTAATATTGAATCTTTTTATTTGCAAAAAGTAATATATAAGCTAAAACTTATAGCCAAAAATCTGTAGGTTTTTTTGGAGCAGGATATACTTTGTAATTAAAACTAACATAGGTATGTTTTACTCACATGCTAGGAATTTTTCTTATAGCATACAAAAAGCTTCACAACTTACAATAAATTATGACTGTAAAAAATTAATATACTTACCTAAGTGAATGGTAAAACTTTCTTCTAACTTTCTCTGTTCCTCATAAATCCTTCCATTTGGTTCTACTGATTCTCTGAACTGACTTGGTTGAACCTTAATTTCTTCACTGAAATTAATAAAATTATTGATTTGGGGGGGGATGTTTATCAAGAACTTGTAAACTTTTCTTTTAAAGAAAAGAAAGGTTCCTAATAAAATGACAAACTAACATATGAGAGTAACTGTTAATTTATTCCTAAACTTGTCCTTAATCCATGATGACAAATAAGATCATAAGTACCAAGAGGTTCTAAAGTTCCCACTTGTTCGTTCATTTCCTCACAGTAAATAATGCACATAATTCCTTTTCAGTCGCTATCATATCAATTCATATATTATCATTTTATATTTCTTTGTGGCCTACGAGAATGATTAAAAGAAGTGACCAACTTATCACTTTAAAAATAACATTTAAAAAATACATACTACTTATTGTATGTATTGTGGAAGACAAAATTAGAAAATAGGCAAAGTGAAAGAAATGAAAATTAAAAGTAAAACATCACATGGATAAAGGACTTAAATATACGACGGGAAACCATACAAATACTAGAAGAATCCAAAGGCAACAAAATCTCAGACATATGCAGAAGCAATTTCTTGACTGATACAGCTCCTAGGGCATTGGAAACTAAAGAGAAAATAAACAAATGGGACTACATCAAAATAAAAAGCTTCTGCACAGCAAAAGAAAC